GGAAAAAATTGCGAAAATAAATATTATATATTTAACAGACGTTTAAAAAATTTCCACATATCTGATTTGCGTAAATTTGAGAAGAATATTAATTAAACCAATCCGCAAGTCGAAAAATTTACGCAATATTTGACCTGAGTCAGGTTGATACCAAACAATAGTCAGAACGCGACCGACTGTCGTGGAGGTTACATCGCCGGTGGTGTTTACGCATCTCTTTTCGTAATGTTGGAAGGTGTCAAACATGTTTTATTAGTGCTTTCTGGTAAAGGTGGTGTCGGAAAGTCAACAATCAGCACACAATTGGCACTTGCACTCAAAGAGTCTGGATTTCGCGTGAGTTTTGAAATTTTTTGGCAATTCTAGGTTAGATCACTTACATGTCAAAAATGTTGTAGGTTGGCTTGCTAGATGTTGATCTTTGCGGACCTAGTGTGCCTTATTTGTTAAATTTAGAAGGCAAAGATGTTCATCAGTCTTCTGATGGGTATTTAAAATAATTTTTGTTAATTGACACGTAACGTATGGCATTACATTTTTATGAAAAATTTTTACGTATTATTCCCGTTTTTGTATATTAATATTCGCAAAATATAATTATTTGTCAACATTATCATTGTCGTGTTACTTAGATGGGTACCAGTTTTTGCAGATAAAGAACAAAAATTAGCTGTCATGTCAATAGGGTTTTTATTAAAAAATCAAGATGACAGTATTATCTGGCGGGGTCCAAAGAAAACTGGAATGGTTAAACAGTTTTTGACTGATGTTGTTTGGCAAGATATTGATTACTTAATTATTGATACACCACCAGGAACTTCAGATGAACACATCACAGTGATGGAGAATTTAAGGTAAAATTAAAATTTATTTTATTCTTTCCATTTATACATTTATCACACTAAACATGAAAAAATATCAAACACATTCCATAGATCTGTAATACCACTAATGTCATGTGGTTTTGGTTTCTCACATGTGACTATGATGAATAATCATGTGACGTCCAAACTGAGTATAATTCTTGTTAGATAAGTGAGTGGTCATGAGATTGATAAGCTCACACATTCTATTTGAATGTGTACTAAAAGAGAAAACATGACAATTATCATAGCATATATCAATGTACTATTATGAATAAATTGTTTGCTATTTTTAAGATAAGATATATTTTACAGAAATGTTAAGTGTGATGGTGCACTAATAGTAACCACTCCACAAGCTGTTGCAGTGGATGATGTCTTACGGGAAATAACATTTTGTAGAAAAACTGGAATTCATATATTTGGTATTATTGAAAATATGAGTGGTTTTGTCTGTCCATCTTGTTCAGTGAGTATAAAATATTTGTGTGGTATGTAAAAGAAAATTTTTACTGTTTTAACAAAGGATGTTAATTCCAGGAATGTACAAATATATTTTCCGCGGGTGGAGGAATAGCTCTTTCGAAAATGGTAAATGTACCATTTTTAGCAAAAGTGCCTATAGATCCACAAGTTGGGAAACTAGCAGAAACAGGTCAAAGTGTTTTGGTAACTCTACCTGATAGTCAGGTAGCGCAAGTGTTTCGGAAACTAGTCGAGGAACTTACACAGAGCAAGGAAGCATGAGAGTGAAAGATTTGATTTCATACGCACAAAATTTCCAGTGAAGATACAGTACTTGCTCGTAATCTTACAATTAACTTTTTAGCCCTTTGCGAGCTAACGCATTTTTTATTACTTTATAATGAATAATTAAATAATATAAATTAAGAAGAAAGAAAAATCTTTGGTTTTTTGTGAAAAATATATGTGTATTTCATGATATATCATAATAGACACATAACATTGTAAAATATGTATGTTGTATACAAACGGTATGTAGAATCGCAGAGGTTTAATCTAATTGCATTTTATACAAAAAGGGGTAGAGTGTACAGGTATAGATACAACGACTTTTATATGATAGCATTTACGGGAGGTACAAAAAGTTCAAAAGTTCTGCAGGTTGCGACAAATATCGGTATATATATATATGTATGTATGTGTACATATCTTGTACCAACGTTAACAAAAACACGCAAATATACACTTCAACATTTTTGTACAAAAGTGTGAATATATTAATATACCATTGTATAATGTATATACAACGAAATCTTTGTAAATTTATTCGTTGCTCTATTTACAATCTTTTCAAACTTGATGTTATCTGATTATTTACAAGTTTTGACTGTTGTACACATATTCAAAAATAAAAAGATATATTTTCCTCCTATTTTTATATTCATTTGTTTATCAAATACTGTTAACAATTATTAATTCGATAATCTTTTCAAGTAAGCTGCCCAAAGTTCCTTTTTGTATTCCAACGTGGCAGCCAACTTATCCTGTGCTTCGATAATACCTCTACCGACTACAGCTAAATCGGCTCCAGCATTTACAACAGCTTGTGGAGTATTGTATTGCTGTCCCAAGTCGTCGGAACTTTTCGACAGCTTTACTCCAGGTGTTAATTGAACAAGTCCAAGTTCCCGGAAAATGTTCGATTGGCAAACGATACCAGCTACCATATCGGAATTTTGTGCTATAGATACAGCGCTCTCAATATATTCGCCTGTCGTTAAAGCTCCTTTGGAAGACATTTCTGCTAGTACAAAAAAGCCACGAGGTTCGCTT